AGGAAATATTTTTAAGGTATTTTACATTTTTGAATTTATTCCTTGTCTAATATTTCTTCAATACTAAAAACATGTTTTTCATTTTAATCAAAGATTTAATTAACTTCTTCCCTTTTTCCAATGTATACTCCATAGATATTTTGAGTTTCACTAACTCCACCTTTACCAATTGCAAATTTTGTTTCCTTTTTATTTCCATAACATTTTTATCCTACAAAGTCTTCTTAAATAATGTTATCTGGATTAAGAAGTGAATTAATAATGGTTGATTTTCCTACTTTTGTTATACCAATAAAATAGATTGCGTTTTCAATTTTATTTTATGGTCCATCTTATATTCTTGAAGTGATATATTTTAGCTCATATAACGTATTTTCTAAAGTATCATTACAATTGGAAGACCATTATTTAAGATTTAATGTTAGTTTTTATACTTCAAATATTTTCTCATTTTTGAATATGTTATTATGATATTTTTAGAAAAATTTAATTATTTCATAAAGTTTATAAATCACCTCATCACTAAGTAAGGGTTAAATTTTTAATTCTTAAATTTTAACTTCTTCCTTAAATTGTACCATTTAAGGACTTAATTAATTTTGTTATCTCTTATTTATATCTTAAGCATTTTGCCCTTAATTCACTTTATTAATAAAATTGTAAACCTAGACAATTTGTGAAGCATCATCTTTTAGAGAATTCTTTTCCTCCATAAAACCTGCTTATAATTCTTTTAAATAATTTTCAACCTCCTCCACAACTGCAAAATTATTTTTGATGATTGGCATTTATTATAAGTGAAGGAGGATTATTTAAAATTATTTAAGATCTTCATTAATCTATTCCTTTAAAAACCTTTATTGTATTTATAAATATGTCATCATTTATCCATAGTTAATCTAATCATCGGATTTAACTTTCTTTGCCTTTGTGTAATTACTAGATTTAAATATTGTCTTCAAAATTTCATTATCACGATAAGTTTAAATTTACAATTATTTATCCTTTTAAAAATAAGAAAATAATGCAAACTATTTTGAAAATTAGTGATAATCCCATTTATCATCTTGTTGATATCTTAAAAAGAAAAATTATTTTTCTTTAAAATAGAAAGATCCGAAGTAAAAAATCGAATCTTTAACAATATTATCTAATTTTCCCCTATCATCATCTCCTGTTAATTATGAAATATCTAAAATTAAATAGAAATAACAAGTTTCCATTTTTTTTAATACTAATTCAGCATAAATTTTTGAAATGCATAAATTTTAGGCAATTTTTTCATCATTTTGATCTTCATACGATAATATTGAAGGGAAATATAATAAATAACTTATTTTCCCTTTTTTTTCTATTTTGACCAACTTAAAATAGTCTCCACATAAAAGGACTTCTTTTTTCTCAAAATGACTATAGAAAGAATCAAATTTATTTTCAAAGTACCCTAAAAATATAATAACTTTGCTTTTTTGTGGAATTTAAGGAATATTATCAATTATTGAATTTTGAATTTTATTTATATTGCTATGAATAGTATTGATTTGCTTTGTAATGCTTGTTTACTTCTCTTCATTTGGTTGATATTAATCCATATTATTATAATTAATGAAAAAATTTGGAGATCACTTTCTTTAAATATCAATTTTAGCAATAGTTATATCGAATTCTATCATTTGATTAGAATACAATAAAAGACGTCATTTAGAAAATAATTACAATTATTACAAATAAATTGAATAATAATTTATATAAAATATTGCGTATTTAGTAGCAAATATAAGTATAAATTCATTAACTTTAAAAAGGACTGAATGACCCAGTTATTTCTTAGGATAATACTAGATATTCAATTGTTGTTGAAAATTCATTTCGGAATTTGTTTCCTTTATTCAATTTCTTATATTGACAAATTTTAACTACTAGAAAATACATCTGTGAATTACAAGCTAATTTCGATTAAAATGATACTTTACAATATTATTATTTAAAGAGATTAACATCTCAAATAAACTGATAAATAAGTTATAATAGCAAGATGGAACAATACTATGTACTTAGATGAAGAATTAGCATTTTTTATTAGTAACATTGAATTTAACCATAGAAGGATATTATGATGCACAATCCTTAATTTATTTTACTTCCATCAATCTTAAAGATAGTTAGAACTAATGCATATACAGATGTTGTAATCGAGAATATTTCTAAATGGTTTTTAACTAATGGCTATCTTTCCAAATTATAGCTAATATATTTTGGATATGACCTTTATTCAAATTGTTCTCCACGTGATTGCAATTTAGAGAATATACTTAAAAATGGTGATTCTATTATTATTCTACATTTTGGGTTGAGAAAGCCGACCCAAAAATACTGTGTCTATTGGAATCCTTTAATCCTTAAGGGTAAGCCTTGTAGGTCTTCTTATTAATGGTCTCTAGGAATTATATATTTAGTTAGGACTTAAGGGACATAAATTCTGAATGAAGTTTAAAAGTATATAACTGCATGGTTGAAAGGAGGAAGATTGGATATTGGGTTTTTGATTAACAATAAAAAGCAATCAGTCCAAGATTTAATATCTCCACTCTTGGATCCAGAAAATCCTATAGCTTGGAATGAAATCCATAATCATCCAGCTTTTAGAGAAGATAATGCTTGTAAATTAATTTTGAAGTTTCGATGCAAATTCTATAATTACGAAGTAAAAAGTCAATCTTCATCAAGAACTAATAGTAGAAATGAAAATAGTAATTAAATTAGCATTATGCCTTGTCCTTATGGATTATAGAATCCAAAATTTAGCGAGTAAAATATATATAATCAATCAATTATCACAAAGGTTTGCAATTTATAAAAATCACATCAAGATAAAGAGCGTAATGCTTTGGGCAATTTGTATTCATCTGTATTAAATAGACATACATCCACATCATAAACAAATAGATAGACAATCTAAATAAATATCAGCCCTAATAAGTTTAATCACTAANAGTACTTAGATATTTTGAACTATTATCCTCATTATTAAAAATTCAACAAATATCATAGCTCTTTGCATTGAAGGTAATTCATCTCTTTTATTTTATAAATACATAGTCCTTAAACTAGTAAATAAATAAAAACAGTTCCTTTAATCTTCAAATTAGGATATGTACATTTCGCCTACCAATTCCTTTAATAAATTTGGCTTATTTGTCATTACCAAAAAGCCTTCTAACATCAATTAAATTAAATAGCGTAATTTAAGTACACAAATATCATTCTCTTGTGGGCTTAACTATTTGCAAGGGCCATCCTAATTAATATATTATATTATTACTATAATATTCAAATTGTAATATTATTCTAATCTCTCCTTTTTAATCTAATTAAATACTTTTGAAAAAGCCATTTAAGTCCATTGTTTAAATTTGATTGCTTTGATTTAATCGTTATAAATTACTTCCTTCAAGCAATTACTGTAAAAAAAAGTATTCAATCTCTTTTTCTAAATTAGAGATCTTGAAAATATGAGGATGAAATACTTCACTAATTTTGCCCATCTAACTAAAGCTTTGATTGCTATAAAACAAGATTTTAATCTTTGCCTCAATTTAAGCTTAGGTACTTTATCAACAAATTTTTTAGTGAATTTGACTAGTTGTTTTAATTGTTTATTCTCTCTCTCTTGAACACTTGGTAATGGCGGTAAATAATGCTCCCATTCACCCTTTTTATCATATCTCCCTGCAAAACCTTTTCTCATATCAATCTAAGGCTAAAATTTCTATTATTCCTTCATGACGTAATTTAGTTTCTCCGGTTTCATTGAAGCTTCCCCAACTAATGAATTTTCAATTGTCTTAGTCCTATCGGTTGTGCGACTTGATCCTTAATTTTAAATTTCTTATTTTTATTTATTAATATACCATAAAGGCTGATGCTTTTCCTATGATTTTAATTTCTTATTGCTTCTTAAATGCTTACAGTATCTTGACTTGTATTTGATGCTTATTTAATATCTGTAATTGTTTATTCTAATTCTGTTCGTTTCTTAATTAATGGGAGCTTCAACTAAAATGTCATAATATTAGTTATTTTAAAATAGTTTATCCTAAAATTAATTGTAATTATAAAAACAATATAGTATGATTTACTGAAATTGATAAAATATTAGCTTAAGCATTGCAGAAACAACCGAATACACTAACATTGGTATTAAATGTGTAATTTCCATAATTAATACAACAACTCATCTTATTAATAATAACATATCAGTTAGATATGGAATAATTCAATACAATTTATAATCTCATTCTATCCGTTTTTCCTTCGTGAATCAATATAGTTATTATAATTTCAAATTGTAATTATTCTAATTATCCAATTCAGCTAAATATATCTTCCTCAAAGAAATATTTTTGTTGGATTCACTGACGAAGTATCTCCATTTTCTGACTTCTTCAATTTTAATAATGATGGTTTTAATCCTATTAACAAGATTATCAATTTTAATCTCAAACGGTGCTATTTACTTTATTTTTTAGCAATATTATGATATTTTTAAAATAGATTTCATATCTTCTATGTATTATTGTATGAAAATATCATTCTTTTGTAAATACGGATTACCATTAATCCAGTTTGATAGGTCGTAAAGAATATCTTTACAGTTATTATATGTTATTACGCTAACCATTTGCTTTGTATTTTTATCTAACAAAATGCTTTAAAGTTTTTCTATTTTTTCTTTCTTCATTTCTATTCTATCATTACTTTCCAATATATACTCATCTAAATCCTCTAAGAAGAATTTTAGAATACTTTCTAACTTCTATTTAACTTTAGGTATGCAATGCTCATAGAGTGAATACATTTTAGGATCAAGAACACCCTGAAATTCTGGTGTAAAGGCTTGATTTGATTGAAGTTACTATGATGACATCTCGATAATTTTATCAGTTAAATTACCAACAATAATTTAAATTTCTTTTATTTTTGGTTTTACAAATTCTATACTTCTTTTTTCAAATAAATTTTTATAAAAACTATAATTTTCATCCAAAAAACCTTTATACATCACCTTCCAATTGTCAAGATAATATTATCTTTATCCTTTCTTTGCTTTTGTTAGAATTATATTTGTCCACTTGTCATAATGTGATACTATGTCATTTTTGTCTTTTAAAAGTTAAGTTATTGGATCAAAAGTATTCTTAATATTTTCAATTGATTATTGAGTAATATCAATTACAAAAAATACAATTATATTTTTTGTTTTTTTGAAATAATTATATAAGCTAATTCTGTGGGCTATTCTCATTAATTCATTACAATTATCATCAAATCCTGGGCAATCAAATAGGAAATATTTTTAAGGTATTTTACATTTTTGAATTTATTCCTTGTCTAATATTTCTTCAATACTAAAAACATGTTTTTCATTTTAATCAAAGATTTAATTAACTTCTTCCCTTTTTCCAATGTATACTCCATAGATATTTTGAGTTTCACTAACTCCACCTTTACCAATTGCAAATTTTGTTTCCTTTTTATTTCCATAACATTTTTATCCTACAAAGTCTTCTTAAATAATGTTATCTGGATTAAGAAGTGAATTAATAATGGTTGATTTTCCTACTTTTGTTATACCAATAAAATAGATTGCGTTTTCAATTTTATTTTATGGTCCATCTTATATTCTTGAAGTGATATATTTTAGCTCATATAACGTATTTTCTAAAGTATCATTACAATTGGAAGACCATTATTTAAGATTTAATGTTAGTTTTTATACTTCAAATATTTTCTCATTTTTGAATATGTTATTATGATATTTTTAGAAAAATTTAATTATTTCATAAAGTTTATAAATCACCTCATCACTAAGTAAGGGTTAAATTTTTAATTCTTAAATTTTAACTTCTTCCTTAAATTGTACCATTTAAGGACTTAATTAATTTTGTTATCTCTTATTTATATCTTAAGCATTTTGCCCTTAATTCACTTTATTAATAAAATTGTAAACCTAGACAATTTGTGAAGCATCATCTTTTAGAGAATTCTTTTCCTCCATAAAACCTGCTTATAATTCTTTTAAATAATTTTCAACCTCCTCCACAACTGCAAAATTATTTTTGATGATTGGCATTTATTATAAGTGAAGGAGGATTATTTAAAATTATTTAAGATCTTCATTAATCTATTCCTTTAAAAACCTTTATTGTATTTATAAATATGTCATCATTTATCCATAGTTAATCTAATCATCGGATTTAACTTTCTTTGCCTTTGTGTAATTACTAGATTTAAATATTGTCTTCAAAATTTCATTATCACGATAAGTTTAAATTTACAATTATTTATCCTTTTAAAAATAAGAAAATAATGCAAACTATTTTGAAAATTAGTGATAATCCCATTTATCATCTTGTTGATATCTTAAAAAGAAAAATTATTTTTCTTTAAAATAGAAAGATCCGAAGTAAAAAATCGAATCTTTAACAATATTATCTAATTTTCCCCTATCATCATCTCCTGTTAATTATGAAATATCTAAAATTAAATAGAAATAACAAGTTTCCATTTTTTTTAATACTAATTCAGCATAAATTTTTGAAATGCATAAATTTTAGGCAATTTTTTCATCATTTTGATCTTCATACGATAATATTGAAGGGAAATATAATAAATAACTTATTTTCCCTTTTTTTTCTATTTTGACCAACTTAAAATAGTCTCCACATAAAAGGACTTCTTTTTTCTCAAAATGACTATAGAAAGAATCAAATTTATTTTCAAAGTACCCTAAAAATATAATAACTTTGCTTTTTTGTGGAATTTAAGGAATATTATCAATTATTGAATTTTGAATTTTATTTATATTGCTATGAATAGTATTGATTTGCTTTGTAATGCTTGTTTACTTCTCTTCATTTGGTTGATATTAATCCATATTATTATAATTAATGAAAAAATTTGGAGATCACTTTCTTTAAATATCAATTTTAGCAATAGTTATATCGAATTCTATCATTTGATTAGAATACAATAAAAGACGTCATTTAGAAAATAATTACAATTATTACAAATAAATTGAATAATAATTTATATAAAATATTGCGTATTTAGTAGCAAATATAAGTATAAATTCATTAACTTTAAAAAGGACTGAATGACCCAGTTATTTCTTAGGATAATACTAGATATTCAATTGTTGTTGAAAATTCATTTCGGAATTTGTTTCCTTTATTCAATTTCTTATATTGACAAATTTTAACTACTAGAAAATACATCTGTGAATTACAAGCTAATTTCGATTAAAATGATACTTTACAATATTATTATTTAAAGAGATTAACATCTCAAATAAACTGATAAATAAGTTATAATAGCAAGATGGAACAATACTATGTACTTAGATGAAGAATTAGCATTTTTTATTAGTAACATTGAATTTAACCATAGAAGGATATTATGATGCACAATCCTTAATTTATTTTACTTCCATCAATCTTAAAGATAGTTAGAACTAATGCATATACAGATGTTGTAATCGAGAATATTTCTAAATGGTTTTTAACTAATGGCTATCTTTCCAAATTATAGCTAATATATTTTGGATATGACCTTTATTCAAATTGTTCTCCACGTGATTGCAATTTAGAGAATATACTTAAAAATGGTGATTCTATTATTATTCTACATTTTGGGTTGAGAAAGCCGACCCAAAAATACTGTGTCTATTGGAATCCTTTAATCCTTAAGGGTAAGCCTTGTAGGTCTTCTTATTAATGGTCTCTAGGAATTATATATTTAGTTAGGACTTAAGGGACATAAATTCTGAATGAAGTTTAAAAGTATATAACTGCATGGTTGAAAGGAGGAAGATTGGATATTGGGTTTTTGATTAACAATAAAAAGCAATCAGTCCAAGATTTAATATCTCCACTCTTGGATCCAGAAAATCCTATAGCTTGGAATGAAATCCATAATCATCCAGCTTTTAGAGAAGATAATGCTTGTAAATTAATTTTGAAGTTTCGATGCAAATTCTATAATTACGAAGTAAAAAGTCAATCTTCATCAAGAACTAATAGTAGAAATGAAAATAGTAATTAAATTAGCATTATGCCTTGTCCTTATGGATTATAGAATCCAAAATTTAGCGAGTAAAATATATATAATCAATCAATTATCACAAAGGTTTGCAATTTATAAAAATCACATCAAGATAAAGAGCGTAATGCTTTGGGCAATTTGTATTCATCTGTATTAAATAGACATACATCCACATCATAAACAAATAGATAGACAATCTAAATAAATATCAGCCCTAATAAGTTTAATCACTAATTAACTCTACAAAAATGTTGCCAAAATCTTTTAAAAAACCTGTGAACCTTGGTTTTAAGCCTTTAAGGAATTAAAATTAAGCTACTAATTAAAATACCGGTTTTGATTCTCATAGATAAACTGGTGNAGGAAATATTTTTAAGGTATTTTACATTTTTGAATTTATTCCTTGTCTAATATTTCTTCAATACTAAAAACATGTTTTTCATTTTAATCAAAGATTTAATTAACTTCTTCCCTTTTTCCAATGTATACTCCATAGATATTTTGAGTTTCACTAACTCCACCTTTACCAATTGCAAATTTTGTTTCCTTTTTATTTCCATAACATTTTTATCCTACAAAGTCTTCTTAAATAATGTTATCTGGATTAAGAAGTGAATTAATAATGGTTGATTTTCCTACTTTTGTTATACCAATAAAATAGATTGCGTTTTCAATTTTATTTTATGGTCCATCTTATATTCTTGAAGTGATATATTTTAGCTCATATAACGTATTTTCTAAAGTATCATTACAATTGGAAGACCATTATTTAAGATTTAATGTTAGTTTTTATACTTCAAATATTTTCTCATTTTTGAATATGTTATTATGATATTTTTAGAAAAATTTAATTATTTCATAAAGTTTATAAATCACCTCATCACTAAGTAAGGGTTAAATTTTTAATTCTTAAATTTTAACTTCTTCCTTAAATTGTACCATTTAAGGACTTAATTAATTTTGTTATCTCTTATTTATATCTTAAGCATTTTGCCCTTAATTCACTTTATTAATAAAATTGTAAACCTAGACAATTTGTGAAGCATCATCTTTTAGAGAATTCTTTTCCTCCATAAAACCTGCTTATAATTCTTTTAAATAATTTTCAACCTCCTCCACAACTGCAAAATTATTTTTGATGATTGGCATTTATTATAAGTGAAGGAGGATTATTTAAAATTATTTAAGATCTTCATTAATCTATTCCTTTAAAAACCTTTATTGTATTTATAAATATGTCATCATTTATCCATAGTTAATCTAATCATCGGATTTAACTTTCTTTGCCTTTGTGTAATTACTAGATTTAAATATTGTCTTCAAAATTTCATTATCACGATAAGTTTAAATTTACAATTATTTATCCTTTTAAAAATAAGAAAATAATGCAAACTATTTTGAAAATTAGTGATAATCCCATTTATCATCTTGTTGATATCTTAAAAAGAAAAATTATTTTTCTTTAAAATAGAAAGATCCGAAGTAAAAAATCGAATCTTTAACAATATTATCTAATTTTCCCCTATCATCATCTCCTGTTAATTATGAAATATCTAAAATTAAATAGAAATAACAAGTTTCCATTTTTTTTAATACTAATTCAGCATAAATTTTTGAAATGCATAAATTTTAGGCAATTTTTTCATCATTTTGATCTTCATACGATAATATTGAAGGGAAATATAATAAATAACTTATTTTCCCTTTTTTTTCTATTTTGACCAACTTAAAATAGTCTCCACATAAAAGGACTTCTTTTTTCTCAAAATGACTATAGAAAGAATCAAATTTATTTTCAAAGTACCCTAAAAATATAATAACTTTGCTTTTTTGTGGAATTTAAGGAATATTATCAATTATTGAATTTTGAATTTTATTTATATTGCTATGAATAGTATTGATTTGCTTTGTAATGCTTGTTTACTTCTCTTCATTTGGTTGATATTAATCCATATTATTATAATTAATGAAAAAATTTGGAGATCACTTTCTTTAAATATCAATTTTAGCAATAGTTATATCGAATTCTATCATTTGATTAGAATACAATAAAAGACGTCATTTAGAAAATAATTACAATTATTACAAATAAATTGAATAATAATTTATATAAAATATTGCGTATTTAGTAGCAAATATAAGTATAAATTCATTAACTTTAAAAAGGACTGAATGACCCAGTTATTTCTTAGGATAATACTAGATATTCAATTGTTGTTGAAAATTCATTTCGGAATTTGTTTCCTTTATTCAATTTCTTATATTGACAAATTTTAACTACTAGAAAATACATCTGTGAATTACAAGCTAATTTCGATTAAAATGATACTTTACAATATTATTATTTAAAGAGATTAACATCTCAAATAAACTGATAAATAAGTTATAATAGCAAGATGGAACAATACTATGTACTTAGATGAAGAATTAGCATTTTTTATTAGTAACATTGAATTTAACCATAGAAGGATATTATGATGCACAATCCTTAATTTATTTTACTTCCATCAATCTTAAAGATAGTTAGAACTAATGCATATACAGATGTTGTAATCGAGAATATTTCTAAATGGTTTTTAACTAATGGCTATCTTTCCAAATTATAGCTAATATATTTTGGATATGACCTTTATTCAAATTGTTCTCCACGTGATTGCAATTTAGAGAATATACTTAAAAATGGTGATTCTATTATTATTCTACATTTTGGGTTGAGAAAGCCGACCCAAAAATACTGTGTCTATTGGAATCCTTTAATCCTTAAGGGTAAGCCTTGTAGGTCTTCTTATTAATGGTCTCTAGGAATTATATATTTAGTTAGGACTTAAGGGACATAAATTCTGAATGAAGTTTAAAAGTATATAACTGCATGGTTGAAAGGAGGAAGATTGGATATTGGGTTTTTGATTAACAATAAAAAGCAATCAGTCCAAGATTTAATATCTCCACTCTTGGATCCAGAAAATCCTATAGCTTGGAATGAAATCCATAATCATCCAGCTTTTAGAGAAGATAATGCTTGTAAATTAATTTTGAAGTTTCGATGCAAATTCTATAATTACGAAGTAAAAAGTCAATCTTCATCAAGAACTAATAGTAGAAATGAAAATAGTAATTAAATTAGCATTATGCCTTGTCCTTATGGATTATAGAATCCAAAATTTAGCGAGTAAAATATATATAATCAATCAATTATCACAAAGGTTTGCAATTTATAAAAATCACATCAAGATAAAGAGCGTAATGCTTTGGGCAATTTGTATTCATCTGTATTAAATAGACATACATCCACATCATAAACAAATAGATAGACAATCTAAATAAATATCAGCCCTAATAAGTTTAATCACTAATTAACTCTACAAAAATGTTGCCAAAATCTTTTAAAAAACCTGTGAACCTTGGTTTTAAGCCTTTAAGGAATTAAAATTAAGCTACTAATTAAAATACCGGTTTTGATTCTCATAGATAAACTGGTGATGCTACTATAGAAAATATCATTTAACCATCTTAAAAATAAGATTCTTTAATGAAACTATGAGATTGAGGGTTTCCTCAGTATAAGAAGAAATAATCAGGTTATAATAAAAACAGAGAAATGGCTCAACACATTCATTTTTGCATTTCGAAACTAAATAATTGTAATAAAATTATCAATATTAAGCATTTAAGAATAACAAAGAAATGTAGTAATAAAGCAAAATTTAGAAGGTTGAAGGAGAACAAAAATAAATTAAGATTAACGATTATACAGAATAATAGTAATAACAATAACAATAAGAATAGCAACAACAAAAAAATCAACAGCAACAACAACAATAATAGTAATAATCAAAATTGCAATCTTAACAATAGCAATAATCTTAGCCATTTCTTTATGGAAATTTTAACTTTGATGCTGAAAATCACAAAGAAATAATTTAAATGAATTGCGCATTATTTTAATAAAAATATAATATATCTTTAGAAGCAATCAATTTGATTGGCTAAACAGTAGCAAAATGTTTAACTTTCTTTAATGCATTATAAAATGTTTGGGTAATTCCTCTATTCCTAGTCTTTAAGCGTATGCTTTAATTAAGAAAGTAGGTTGAAAATTTATTATAAGAAAAAGTAAATTCCTTTAATATCAACTATTGGGAAGAGATAACTTAAAGTGCTGAATTTGAAAATTATTTAACTAAGGTTTAGTAAGACAATTAACTTGTTTAATCAGAATTAAGTGTATTGTTAAATTCAGCTAAAGCGAAAGCTGAAAAGTTAGATAAATCTAGAAGGGATAAAGTTGAATGGTTTTTAAATGATGATCTGGAAAATAAGATAAAAGATGTTTGTAAAACATATTTTCATGGATAGATTTATAAGAATATTAAAGACAAAAAGGGAATAGAACGACCAAATATAGAGTGGCTTAAATTGCAAATCTAGGCCTAAGCATCCATAATCATAAGTGAGTTACCTATTTTCACATATGATAAGGATAACTTTACTTATGAAGGCTATTTATCAGCACTTGAATTTACAGATGAAGATTAAATTTACTAATACTTAAATAAATATGAGCATTATCTCGATCATAAATGAAAACGAAATTCTTAGTTTATTAATTATATTCATTTATATTGAATTTAAATATTGGAGACTTCTTGAAATTTTGGTGAACTATATTTTCTTTATATTGCTTATAATGACATAACCTTTGCTTAGCATAATTATTAACATATCTCTTTTGCCACTGGTCTTATTTGATTCTCATTATATTGTGAATGTATTTCTAAATAGGTAGGCCAGCAATTCTAAGATCTATTCAATAAATTTTGATTTTAAATACTTTTTATAAATCTTCTGTACTAAATATAGTACGCTGGCTGCTTGCAAACTAGGGTTGTATTGTATAAATTTATGATCCAACAACATTAATTCTAGAATGTATTTTCCTAATTAATATGACTTTTAATCTAGTTAAATTAATTGTTAATATCTCTCATAGAATTAATGTTGATTTGTAAAACAAATTTCAAATTATAATTGCATTAAAATTTTACCCTCCATTTCTAGAATTTCTTCTTTTGTATAGGTTTTATCTGTTACATCCGAGTAATAATTTAATTTTGGAGGGTAGATTTCACAATATTTCGATGCAATGAATAGAGCAGAGACTCCGAGTAATTGAAATTTATTCCTAGATATCTGGATTTGCTATAGATATGCATCAATTATGTAAATAGTTAAGTATAATGTATCTGAAACCAAATTAAATCTGTGATGAACATCTACTAACCAATCTATGAGTATTGATCTCATTTTATAATTGATCTCTATTTGTTTGTCAATATAAGTATGATCAAGTGCTTTGTCCTTGTTTCTACAATATTTATAGATATCTTTAGCATAAACAGACACTAATTAGGGATTGTTATTATTTTTATTATCAATTTAATCCAATTCATCAAATTTAATTCTTTGAGTTTAGGATTATGATTTACTTTATCTAAAATTAGATAAATCCTTTCCAAAACATCTCTCCCCCATACTTAAACGAGGGACTCTACTTTTTTATCCCATTTCATTTTCATCTATGTATTACATTTAGAAATTTGAATAAATTAATATTACAGTTAATAATTATATTAATATATGCTCTTTAAATAATTTTATCAAATTTAATCATATAAAATAATCCAATCAAGCATTCTATTGATAATATGAATCATGAAAATTGGTTATTTCACCAACTAAGTATTTATCTGCAATGAATTCAGGAAAACCTTTACTCTCAGAAGTGAATTCTTTGTGATATTTTATTAAGAAACCGAGTATTTTTATTCCATCTAACAATCCTATCTTACCACTCATGTTTTAATATGATTCATGTTGACATTTTGATAAAAATTCAAGGCAAAATCGATTATTTAAAGATTTCTCATCTTGGATCAGAGTTAAAATCTTTTCATTATTTGAGTTAATAATTGATTTGACAGAATTTATCATTGAAACAACCAAGTCATTATTATCTTTCTTTTTTTTACAGATCTTTTGATTATGCCAAAATTACATAATGGGAAATAATGTATCATCAATTAAAGTTAATTTCATATCATAGGATTATCCAATTAATTATTTTATCTATTCGAAGTGTTTCTCTAATGTGTTGAATCTTTTTTTTAAATGAGCCTCCATCAATGTCAATAGCGTTAAATATTTTTGATTTTACATTTTCTCAAAATCTTAGGATTTTGGATCCAATTAACAACATCCAATAAATGTAATCAATGTAAACAGTAAACTATTTCTATATTCTTGTAGAAATGATTTTTCATTTATTAAATTGTCTAAAGTATTCATTTTATAATTATACCTAATGCTTATTTATACAAATTATTCTGAGGTTGAATTTTCACAGCCTATTCAAATGATTCTTTGGCTTCATCCAATAATTTATCTTACTTATACACATTTCCTAGTTGATAATGTGCTTCAGCATTTTTAGGATTAATTTTAATGCAGTTCTAATAACTTTCAATAGATTCATCAAACTTCAATAAAAAGAGGTTAGCTGAACCCATCTACAATGAAATTAAATTATTACAATAAAATAAACCTTCTCTAAATTTTCTTTTCCTGATTTAACATATTAATTTAAGTGATTTAATGTGTTGAAGTATTCCTTTTTTTCATTGTAACATATTCCAAGATGATAATGTAAATTTTTAGCGTATTCACTTTTGTTCAACTAAATAAATATCTCTAATGACTCACTAAAATTATTTAAATTAAACAATATCAAACCTAAATCATTATAATAAATGAGACCTTTTTCATATAAGCAGAGCTCATTTTAAGGCTGAATAACCAAAATCTTTTCATAAGTTTCGAGCTCTTATTATACTTTCATTGTAATTTTATAAATTAGTGCTAACAGATTTAAAATTTCTATGTTTGAGGGAAATTTAGTAATTCCATCATTAAGAAAGGTAATGGCATCTTCATATTTTTTTTGTGCCTAAAGTAACTTACCTGAATAAAACATTTAGTTTACCTCTAATAATAAATATCTTGGGATCATCTAAGCTTGATTAAGAATATAAATATTCATAAATCTCAGATGCTTCTTGAATTCTATTAAGCTTAATCAAAATGGAGGCTAAATTAATATGTAAATTTGACCTTTCTTTTCCATTATATCAAAGCTTTTCTCTTTACCAAGTATTTGATCATAGCATTTCAAGGCTTCTTCATCTTTGTTCATGTATTCTAAGATTTTCACTATTTTTCATTAATATGAATTCCTATACCCTTTTCTTTAAGCGCATTTATTTCATTAGGATCAATGCTGAGAATTTAGTTCAATGTTATAAGAGAGCCGGCTTATTACTTTAATTCAATTTATATTGAAGCTTTCGCTTTTAATGCCTATAAATGTGCCGAGTTTTTTTCCAAAACTTAGTTTAAGTGGTTCAAAGCTTCAGTGTGCTTTTATTCTTCTTATAACTTTTAAGCTAAAATCTTATTATTTGATTTAACCTTCCTTCATCTAATCTTCAACGGTCATTACGGCTTATTGGATCTGTGATTACTTTTAAAAATTGCTTTGCACTTTTCTTTTAAATTTTAGAGCGAATTAATTTTCATCATTTAATTTTAAAATTGTATCACAAACTTGTTCTAGTTTATCATATTGTTTTTATTAATTGTATACATATGCTTAATTATAAGTATTTGAAATTACCTTGAGCCTAATATCCATCGATGTAATTTGAGTCAATTTTTAAGGCATTTTAAATAGATTCCAGAGCCCTATCAAATTATTTTAAATCTGTTAGAGCGGTCGCCTTACTGATGTAATAATGTTTTTAGATTTTGTCCTATTATATCGCCATATCATAATATCGAATGGCCTCTTCTTTTCTTTCTAATCTCGATAAAACATAACCTCAAATTTAATTGAGTTTTACCTAAACCATAATTTAAGTCTGGAATGTTGGGATTAATCTAAAATCCATTTTCTAAGTAAGTTAAGGCTTCATTATATTTTTTTTCGTTTATCAAAAAGCTGGCTAATTTATAAAATATTAGAAAAACCAATTTCATTTAGAGCAAGAGCATGATTTGGTTATTTTTCGAGAGTAAGTTAGAATTACTTCTTTGCATTTTCCAAATTCCTTTTGTGCAATTCAATAACTCCTATTCAAATAAGTGAATTATTAACCTTTAGAATAATAAGCATCAATAAATTCAGGATCAGTCTCTATAATTCTGTCTAATAACTTTATCGCTTCATCAAACCTTTCATTTTTAATGAGATAGTTGGCTAATTCATATATCAGTAGATAAACCTCTTCTGTATAATTTATTGACTTCTGTCAGACTTAAAGAAGCTGAACTTGGATTTCTTGAATGCGTTTTAGATGATTAAATTTATTCTGATTCGTTTACATCACCTGGTTTAGCAGATGCACATCCCATTATTATTATTAAAAATATGATTTATTTCCAAGATTATCCTAGAATACTCTATAGATATGATTTAAAATTAGTAAGAAAATTCAAGTTTAAAAATAACTAATATTGTTGTAAATTGATGTATGAATAATCAAAGTCTTCATCCTAAAATTGGGAATGATGGAGCAGCACAGATACCACAAGTATCACCTCCGGCAAGTCTGATGTGACCAGCTTCTCCCCAAGTATTTCCCCATGAGTTTCTAATCTTCCAAGTTCCATCAGCTTAGACACCAACAAGGACGACTCCGTGATTTAAGTTTTTAGTACATTTAGTGAGAACACCACTTCCTAAAAATATTAAAATAAATAATTACTGTAGAATTACCAAGGATTGGCATCGACGGCAACAGCGATTGTTCTTTCTTAGATGGCTTAAGCTAATTCATCACATGAGTCAATATCCTTGAATCCTTAGACGTGAGTGAATGGTCTTTTAACTGAGGTCTTGCAGACTCCATCCTTAGCAGTGTATGGATAATCTTTAGCTTCAGCCAAACCGTTGTCAGCAACATATTCGTAAGCAGAATCCATCCATCCACCATTGCATCCTTCATTATCATATGGTCCTGAGCAGTCAACCAAATCTTATTCAGATAATTCGTATTTTCTGTTGAGTTCAATGTCAGCATTGATTTCAAGTGTTCCGACTGCGGAGAAGGCCCAGCATGAACCGCATGATCCTTAGTTCTTGACAGCTGGATACTTAACCTTTTTATTGTCAGTCCAATCGACTTCTGCACCCTTGTATTAGAAGTTTGAATTGGAAGCGTTAAGTTTGGTTGTCTTTGGAACTTTGAGGCTCAAATAAGTTTAAGCAAATTCTTATTAGCTCATATCAGCAAATTGATTCAATTCCAAAGTGAATGTGGTTTCTTCTGGACTTTCATAGAAAGCTCTGATGTAGTTAAGGTTGTCTGTGAAAACCTTGTATCTATACATTTCATCTCTTTAGTTTGTATATCTTCTGTTATATTTCATCTTCCAATTTGCATAAAGATTTGCTGTATCGATTTCATCAGATACTTCTTATGTGTTGTTCAAGTAGAGGCTGGCTCCCAACAACATCATTAAACCGACTGCTAATAAGGTCTTCTCCATTTTAAATATATATTAATCTAATTAGGACTTTCAATGGCATAAATATTATTATACGATGACGTAATTATCACTTCCTCGATCACGTATAAATATATAAATTATTAATCACATTTCTATAATGTTACAATTAATTTCAGTTATTTTATTATTCTCATATTCTAGGCTTTCTTGAATTAATTTACAATGGAGTAATCAATTTTTGAAACTAGAAGAGATTCTCCATTTTTTTTCTAAAGAATTACACAGCATAATACATAAAATTTTGTTTAAAATTTATAATACATATGGAAAAATCTGATATTCTACAAACTATCATTAATATTTGTAATTCATAATCTCTAAGAAGACGATGATTGTTTAGTGGAATCTTAATACCAATTAAAATAAAATTCTTTTTGCAATACGGCTAGCATTTAGCAGTAGTTTCATTTCTAATTACGATTTTCAGATCTACTTTATTTTCAATAACTAAACTAAACATTTAAGTTCAATTTGGATGCAATCTTGTACAAAATATCACTATAGAGTATTAATACAATTGGAAATAAGTTGATAATTAATATTTTATAAAGTTATATGCATTCAATATTGATATTCTCTAATAAATTTAGAAAGTCTTTATATCGATCCGCCCCTTCCTATTTATTCAGAAATACTGTTCTTTCATTGTTTTAAAATTTTTCTATTGCTTTTCTAATCAAATTAGCTTTTTTCAAAGTAAATTACAAAGCTTTAAGAAAGATAATTTATACTAAAACTTAGGGATTTTCAGAGACTTTTCACAAAACTAATAATTGTGCATAACTATACTCTTAATCTTTTTGGATTAGAACCATTGATTAAAGTGACTTTCTTCCTCTCTTATATATATTTAATTATGGTTTCTAAATTGGAATCACTATTGCTAATTTCTTCCATAAATGTATGGCTTATTAGAATAATTACTTAAAGGCGATGAAATCTTTAAATATTAAAATATGAAAATACAACTAGTAAAAATTTTAATTTAAAATTTATAGAATTTGGAAGAATTCTTTTGTTCAATTAAATTAATCATCTTTTCATCTCAATTATCATATAAATGAATATACAATATAAAAGACTAACTTAAAATTTTTTCTCCTAATTAGAAAATCAATATCCCATATAAATAAGTCATTGTGTATGACTTCTTACTTAAGTATTTATATTTTAGTAGTGAAATATTTCATTTTCTTTTATAATTGGATGGCTAATAGATATATTAACAATTAAAATTACTATAGCAAACAAATATATAATTAATTATCAAAACACCAATATAATTTTAATAAACTTTGTTATTTAATTCTAATTCATTCTAAAAATTAAGAATAAATTTCTACCTTTTACTAAGTTAAGAACATGAAATAAGTCATAAAATAATACGAAACTAAATTTGGCAACTATATTATTTTGAAAACTGCTTACAAAATTGTCCATAACCATGAAAGCATTCTTTTAGTGAAAACTTAAAAGAGAGTCTAAACTCGCTCTTCAATATTGTTGAAAATGATATTTTATGGAATCATAGCTACATATATTAATTCATTTTTTCTAGATTATCAAAGCAATTCTGATGAAGAAAGGCCTAGAACTATTTGATGATTTGGATTACAAAACAATATAAGAAATTTATATAAGAATTCTGGGATTTAAAGTAATATACAATAAATTTATTTTCATATATGATATTAGGATCTCCTTTGTGTTTAATTGAGAATTGATTTTTGGTTAGAAAAACCCATATAAAAATATATATTTATCAAGTTCTCTTTTTAAACTATTTTCATTGTGCTTAAGATTCTCTTCCCTCATTAGTTGGCTAAGAGCTGAGTATTGTAGCCTGATTTTTTTTTTCGAACAATGGTAGTTTGGCAGCTGGACAATCAATTTGATTAAGTGGCAAATCAATTATATGCATAGAAGAAGGTAAACTTGGAGGTGGACTATCAATAATAATTAACAGAGTAGCTCTTTTTGGTTTTGCTGTAGCACATCCCATTTAATGTATAATAATAAATTGAATTAATATCTATCCAAATAGGTGCAAATTTAGATTGTAAAAGTAATCATATTTGATTTTTTGATAAAATATTATAAATTGTCTGTTAGAACATTTACTTATATGTCTTAATAGTAAAAACTGATATCAGCTTCATCACCTTCGAAAACTAGAAGTGCAATGTCATTACACACTTAATCAAAGAGTCCCCATTATAATGAAATGTAATAAGGTAATTTTGTATTTTATAAATAAGGGTCTACACATCAAAAGTCATAGTAAAGTTTACGAAATTCTCATCATATAAGCAAATTTGAGAAGAGCATTGATTTAGATATGAAGCAGAGTAATAGTTTTATTAACCCTGAATTTGAGATAAAAAAACTAATGAACTTGGTTGAATTGCAATAATATGAAATAGATAATTGGAAACGTCGATATGAATAAGCAGAATCACGAGTATCTTATTAAATTAAAATAGTGTATATCCTCTAATTCATCTAAACCAATAAAGGAATATGAAATTCATATAGATTAATTAACCAAAGAACTCAAAAATCATATGTCTATGAATGATGAATTTAGTGCTGAAGTGAAAGAAAAAGATAGTCTAATATAAAAACTGAATAAATAATTAGATATCTATAAATAGTAATTAAATGAATATTAGTCGGAATTAAAGTATGCTTAGAAAGAAAAGGCTAATGTGGATAAAGATGCTTCAATGCAATTTAATTAACAAGATTAGAGATTCAATTAGAAATTATAAGATATTTAATTAGCTAATTTTGAATAGATGTAAATTATGGATGATTAAGTCTAAAAATTGTAATCAGAATTAATAAGACGTAATTAAGCAATTGAATTTTAGAAATAAGAGATAATGTAATTAGATAAGATTATTAATGAAATTAAAGTTAGAGAAAAGACATTGATGCAATCTTAGGAAAGTTATAAAATTAAGTATTAAGAATTATTGGATGAAAAAAAGAAGGAAATCACTAAATAAATTTAACAATTCGAATTAAAAACTAAACAATAAGAAAAGGAATTTCTTGATGAAAAGGAATGTCTTGTTCATAAAATTAGTTAAATGGAATATGAAATAGCATTGCTAGCGAATTAAAGTTAAGAATCATAAAGTATATATATATAATAATAAATTTAAGATCTAATTTAAGGATTGCAAGATGAAATTCAATCATAAGTAGATTAGAATTGCTATCTATAAGAATAAAATCAAAAAAGTTAATATGATTTAGAATTAAGATAGAAAAAAACTATTTAAGAACTTAAAATTGAATTTGAATAATAAAAAAATAAATTATGCTAAGAAATTTCAAAATTAACTACTTAATTGGAAATTACTTCATAATAGCATTGTGAAAATTAAGAGTTGAATCAAGATTTATAAATTAGTTTAGATACTTTAAACAAACATAATAAAAATACATCTTAGTAATTAAGCAAATTGCAAACAGAATTTGAACAACTTTAATTACAGTATGAGAATGATATTACTGAGCAAAACTAAGAAATTGAACAGTTAAATGATTAAATTGCATAATTAACAGAGCTATTAGATCATAGGTCTAATGAACTTGATGATGCCAGATAATTGAGAGGAGAATTAGCATTAAAAAATAATGAAAATAATGTAAGTCATTTCAGTTATATAATAGTTATTGATCTAAAAATTATAAAACGAACTAGAATCTTAGAAGCAAAAATTATTTGATCATCTAAAATAACATTAAATTCAAGGATAAGTCAAAGATGAAATAACTAAATCACAATTTGAATAAATGAAAAACCAAATGGAATCTGAAATTGAACTATTATAAAATGAAAATAAAACAATACGATATTAATTATAGATGAAATCAAGAGAATGTGAAGAGTGGAAACAGTAGTACAATAAACCTTTGTGATATTATTTTTAAATTACTTATTAGATATTAGAAAAGTATTGCATAAATTCATTATAAAATGTAAATTGAATTAAAAGAATAAAATTTTAAATACTAATAATTCATTAATTAAAACTTTCATCTATTTTCATGCAAGTTTATTCTAATAATTTTAGAATGCTTTCGTGAGACTTTTCTTTCTGCTGCCTTTCAACCTAAATTTCTGTTTGAATCTTCTAATGTACTTCTTCTATCATTGAAAATATCTTTTTCTCAGTTTCCTCTCTTACTGATCTTTCAATAGACATCATTTCCTAAAATTTATTTAACTCTAGATCCATTTATTCTATTAAGTGTGCCTGTGAGTCAGATCTTTAATATGTCACTTATTAATACCTTGTTTGTTGTTCATTTTCGATTGTATATCTTAGATCCTTTAATTGATTGCTTACATCTCCTATTTATCTATTGAGCTTATCATAATAAACTGAATTATTTTTTTCAAGCATTCCATGAACTGTATCAAACCTATCTTCTATTTATTTTAAGAGCTACATTTCTACTCTTCTCTTACTCTATTTAATTTCATAGGTATATGTACATTTTTTTCGTCATCCAATTATTTGTTAATTAAGTCTTCGAATTATTATAACTATTCTTAATAACGAGCATAATGTTCTTTCCCAAATTTTTCATTATTAATCTGATCACTAAGTTTTAAAATCTATTCTTTGAGTGTCTATTGAAATATATTATGATATACTTTAAACCTATCCTCATCCTTAATTTTATCGTAATTTAATAAACTATCAATCTTTTAGAGAGATGCATCAATAATTTCTTTTTTTTCAAATTTATCTCTATCTATTCCTGCTTTTAATTAAGTCCATTTATCTGCTAATGCTTACATTTTTTAGAATGATGGTGACTCCGATCTTACTTATGAATTGCTCATTATCTAAGATGATGAAAACTTCATTTCTTCAAAATTTTTAAATTAAATTTTCTTTTTGATGGTTAGAATTAATATTAAATAATCAATATATTTTAAATACAAACTCAAACAGAAATATTGTTCTTCCTATTTCTACATTTTTTATTATGAAATAATATCTATGCAGTTTGATCAGCATTTAAATTAGTAAAATTTTTATATGCTTTTAGATTGTTTAGATTTATTTTTATGAATTAATATCTAATTGATATTCTATTTAATGTTAATTTAAGCGCATTTTCTTAAAACTAGTTGTTTTATTAGAAGATCACACCTAATTAATTAAATTATTAGTTTTATTTCATTTTGATTGATATNGAATGTGAAGAGTGGAAACAGTAGTACAATAAACCTTTGTGATATTATTTTTAAATTACTTATTAGATATTAGAAAAGTATTGCATAAATTCATTATAAAATGTAAATTGAATTAAAAGAATAAAATTTTAAATACTAATAATTCATTAATTAAAACTTTCATCTATTTTCATGCAAGTTTATTCTAATAATTTTAGAATGCTTTCGTGAGACTTTTCTTTCTGCTGCCTTTCAACCTAAATTTCTGTTTGAATCTTCTAATGTACTTCTTCTATCATTGAAAATATCTTTTTCTCAGTTTCCTCTCTTACTGATCTTTCAATAGACATCATTTCCTAAAATTTATTTAACTCTAGATCCATTTATTCTATTAAGTGTGCCTGTGAGTCAGATCTTTAATATGTCACTTATTAATACCTTGTTTGTTGTTCATTTTCGATTGTATATCTTAGATCCTTTAATTGATTGCTTACATCTCCTATTTATCTATTGAGCTTATCATAATAAACTGAATTATTTTTTTCAAGCATTCCATGAACTGTATCAAACCTATCTTCTATTTATTTTAAGAGCTACATTTCTACTCTTCTCTTACTCTATTTAATTTCATAGGTATATGTACATTTTTTTCGTCATCCAATTATTTGTTAATTAAGTCTTCGAATTATTATAACTATTCTTAATAACGAGCATAATGTTCTTTCCCAAATTTTTCATTATTAATCTGATCACTAAGTTTTAAAATCTATTCTTTGAGTGTCTATTGAAATATATTATGATATACTTTAAACCTATCCTCATCCTTAATTTTATCGTAATTTAATAAACTATCAATCTTTTAGAGAGATGCATCAATAATTTCTTTTTTTTCAAATTTATCTCTATCTATTCCTGCTTTTAATTAAGTCCATTTATCTGCTAATGCTTACATTTTTTAGAATGATGGTGACTCCGATCTTACTTATGAATTGCTCATTATCTAAGATGATGAAAACTTCATTTCTTCAAAATTTTTAAATTAAATTTTCTTTTTGATGGTTAGAATTAATATTAAATAATCAATATATTTTAAATACAAACTCAAACAGAAATATTGTTCTTCCTATTTCTACATTTTTTATTATGAAATAATATCTATGCAGTTTGATCAGCATTTAAATTAGTAAAATTTTTATATGCTTTTAGATTGTTTAGATTTATTTTTATGAATTAATATCTAATTGATATTCTATTTAATGTTAATTTAAGCGCATTTTCTTAAAACTAGTTGTTTTATTAGAAGATCACACCTAATTAATTAAATTATTAGTTTTATTTCATTTTGATTGATATAATAAGGAAATCCATTTAGCCTCTATTACAAATAAATTTTTATAGCGCAGCTATGATCTTAATTATTCCTAAAAATATATTTTGCTTTTATTAAATCAATAATTTTTATTTTTTGAATTTGAATGAATAAGGGGAAAAACAATCATAGACGAGCATAGTCTAATAACGATTTTCAATAAATAATAAGTTCTAAAATAATTGGAATGGTTGAATAAAATTCTCATAAAAATTTACTGAAAAATCAAAGCTTTGGTAATATGTTATTCCAAATCCCTGAATAGACTGATATCTGTTCATCAACTGAATAATCTCATCATTCTGAAAAGAAGAGTTGTATAAATGATTATTTGCTATCATCTAAAAAGAACTTTTCACAAGATCAAAAAGAAAATCTAATAAATTCCAATTCTTGTACAAACATTATCTCATCAATTTAATACATGATTAAAAGTAGCCATCCAATAAAGGAAATAGCATAAAAGTCACTAAATAATGAAAGTTAAAGCAAGAAAAAGCATCTTAGTTTTACGAGTGAATTGCAGAAGAAAAATAGCTAAATTCTCCATTAATCTAACAAAATAGATATCTCATCAAGCTTGACTCCGGATAGAAGAAAAACAGATAATAACAGCAAATAGAATAGTCATAAATATAAATCTGATAAACAAGAGGGTCAAGAGAAATAAAAATTAGAATTGTCAAATTTCTTAATAAACAATTTATTAAAGGCAGACTAAAAAAAGAAATCTAATGCGGAATAGTAAGACTCTTTTAGAAGAATGGAATTTCAGATGAATAAGATTTAGAAAGATATTTCTAAAATTAAAAAAAGGCAAGATGAATTGGACTTGTTTAATAGGAATATATAGAATCAACTATTTGATTTTATTTCGGAAAGCAGAAAATATTAGGATGTAAGTTTTAGTTTAAGATTTAGTATGGCTATTAATCTCTCTAAAAACTCGAAAAATTAGAATAAATAACCAGAAGGAATGAAGAATCAATAAAAATGATAAAATAAAAACTATTCAATAATGAAATTTAGTAGACTACTACTAAAACTCATGAAAATAATATCAATTTTGGGTAAAATAATTATATTTATACTTTAGTAATATTTCTTCTTATAAACAAGAACTTGATATACAAAAAAAATTATCTGATTTTAAGTATATTAGTAAATAATGCAATTGAAACTTTATTCAATTTTGAATTTATAATTAAAATTATTATTTTACAAATTATCTTTTCAACTTATGAAATTATTAACATAAATAATCCTATATCTATAAAATTTTAATTAAAACCAGCAATAATAATTAATTCATTTTTGAACTCTACTTAAAAGAGTGTTAGATCTTAAATATTTGTTCTCTGAATCCTCAACAGATGTCTAAAATCTCCTATTCAAATCATTAAAAAAACTGTGATCTCTTTTTCTCTCCCCATTGATTTCCTTTCCTACAAATTAACTGGATTTAGTAGAGTGGGTTTTGTTGGTATCTTAAAGGATTTGCTTTTTCAAAATCATGTATTCTTCTAAAATATTTTTAAGCCATTTCCAACATTCTTTCAAACTATTTAATTTCCTATTAATTTACCTTGGTTTAGCTTAAGCTTGACTCAATGTACAGTTCATCACCATATCGACAATACATTCAACAAATTTATTGATCTAATGTTAGTCATACTAATTCAATTGAGGGGATTTCTCTCTCAACACTACAGACTTGTATTATTTACTAATGTTTTCCTTAGAATTCTTTCTTGATAATTAGACCTAAAAACTATAGTCTTAATGAGTTACATCATTTTATAATTTATTTATATAAGATTCTTGGTTTTGTATGTATTATTGTAACTCATAAATTTTGGATTAATTTATTTAATGTTGTTCTTCATATTTTAAGTTTGATTACTATATAAAAATGAATTAGGAATTACTTCATGAATTGATTCAGCTACTTTATATTGATGTTATTATTAAAATAACTTTTGCTCATATTCAAATATTTTAGTTTTTAGAGTAGAATTTTCTTTTTCGAATTATCCAAGACTTTTTAAACTCTTATGGTATTATTGTTCTGATTAATTAATCTAGAATTCTAGATCTTCTATTTTTTATAGATGTATTTTTGATGTTGAATCTGTTTGTAATTAATTCATTGATTAATCTTCACTAATATTCAGATGAAATTTACATCATCATTTGCTAATTCAATTTCAATTTCTCATTCTACTCTTACAACCATACTTAATAATGTTCTAATTCTTCTATTCTCTTATCTTTCTCTTTCAACAATAATAATAATTATTTATGTTCTTGATCTTAAACATCATCAATTTGAACTTTATTGCATTTTTTAATGAATACATTTCCTTAATCTTTCTTGGTCTCCAGATAACTCTAAAGAATTTAATCATTAAATTCATACTCCTTAATCATTTGAGAATTTACTATAACTACATAATACATCCTCATCTGTTGTTAATCTAATTTATTTATCCCATGAATATTAACTTATAGACAAGAGCAAAGCTTAACTTAATTCTTGTTTCTCAGGAGTTTTTTACATACTCATAATATTTATATTTCAAAATTTAATAATTATTAACGTTTATCATATAATAAATCTATAAGCATAACTATTCAATGTTTAACTATTTTCTATTTCAACTTTTGGATTTATTATATTACTATCTAATTTATTTTAGTTGTTAATCCCAAATTATTTAACTACTTTTACTTCATCCATATATAAAAATTATGTACTTTTTCTTTATATTAAATAGATGATACGAACTATTTACTTTATAGTGAATTTGAGCAATTTCAACCTAAGTAATTTAATATAAACCATTGTTTTCAGAGTGCTTTCAGTTGTCGATATTTTAATTATTCAAACATAATCGCTCAATTCTCTAGAGTATTTTTCTGCCTTCCCTAGCAAATTCATTTTGCATCATTTGAATTGTATTTCAATTTGCAAAAATTAAATATTTCTTCATTATAAAATCTCTATTTATTTATTTTATATTAAATGAAGTTACTTTTCCAATCTTAATTGTTTTTAGAATATTAGCAGAACCTGAATAATTTATATTCAACTCTAGTACTTCAAAATTGGATCTTTTAAATATTTTGGAAATCTTAATCTCTATATTTTTCAAAAATTACTTCGGTTCCTAATTCAGATATATAACTCATATTTTATTATAAATCCATAAACGCTCAAAAAATGATAATAACTTAGTTTCTCTTGAACAATTTATATATTTTGTGAATTTTATAACTTCAGTATTTCTAAACATTTCCAATATCATTCATAAGTAATTCTCTGTTGAATTTTAAAAAATTTTTCGTTTTTCAATAAATTATTATTCAAATTCTCTGGAATCTCTGTTGACATATATGATGATTTCTTTCTAACTTTATATATAAATGATAGAATTTGAAATAATTATTATTAGAATTTGGGTATTTAAGCCAGAGATCTTCAATTTTTCATTAATAATAATAATATGAATTAAGAATCACCAAATGAAACTCAGTTAACAATCAAAGAGCAAACAATCAAAACTATTGGTAGCAATTTCCAAAAAATCAAAACATCAATAATTAATGAATTTCCTAAAATTCCAAAGGGCAGCACAGTACTGATATTTATCGGGTAATTTGAAAACAAATTTGATTCTTTCTATAGCCATTTAGAAAACAAATCAGTCATCTTAGATACATAACACTTGAGAATAGTTTAAATTGTAGGTAATGCGTAAAAAAACAAAATTGCCTATTTATTACATTTTCCTTTGATGTTATTATATGATGAAAAAAATGATGAAATAGTTTAAAATTTTTGTATTTCAAAAATTAATGCTGAAAAGGCATTATAAAAAATTAAATAATGTGATTTCCAGGTAATTTTAGATATATAATAACTAAGAGGTGATGATGATAACGCAAAGTTGAAAACTGTTGTTTTAGATTCAATTTTATACTTTGGAACTAAGTATTTCACAGAAGATTACTTTTTCTTGTTTAGATATTAAGGAGAAGATAAATGGGATTGTTCCTTATCGTAAAAAACAAAAGGAATGTTTTCTTTCTTTTCTAATGATGAAAAATTATAAGTTTCAACATATAGTTAACATGAAATCCTATAGGTAATCCTTAACTCTAAGAAAAAATTAGAACTAAAAATGGTTTAATCAGAGGATGAAATAAACTATGGAAAAATGATGACATATTTATAATAACAGTATGATCTTTTAAAGAAATTGCTAAATGATGATCTTAAACACTTTTAAAACATCCTACTTCTAATATAATAAATGCCAATCATTAAAAATAACTGTGTTGCATAGGAAGTCAAAGATTATTTAAATGAATTAACAAGTTGTTTAAATACTCAAGATACAAAACTTTTTAATATTAGCTAAGTTTACAAGTAAATTAATATTGTGAATTAAGGGCAAAATGCTTAAAAGATAAAAGCAAGATTATCAAATAAACTGAGTCCCTAGATGAAATTATTTATTCAAGAAAAGAACATAGAATAACTTCAAATTTAACCATTGCTTAGTAATGAGCTACTTGAGATACTTAAAAAAATAATTGAATTTTTTAGCTGTTACCATAATAGTGAATTAAAAGATGAGAATATGAGTGAAGTGGCATAATTAAAATTTATTCTTTAATCATGGTGTATGATTTGTGATCCAAAAATAGAAAATTCTCTATACGAACTAAACAATATCACAAATAAAGTATAAAGTGAACCAAAAAATGATATTGAAAATGGAATTTTTTTTATAGGTGCAACAAAATCAGGAAAATCGACTATTATTAATTCTCTACTTAATCCAGAGAACATTATTTAGGAGGACTTTCTATCTTAAAAATGTTATGGAGTTAAATAGAAAACAAAATTTACTATTGGCAGCAGTGGAGCAAGTTAAACTTAGAATATCAATGGGGTTTACATTGGCAAAAAGTAAGAATTGGATTAAATCTTTGATTAAAAGGAACAAAATGTTTTTAGTTATGAAGAAATACTCGACTAAGAATAAATGAAAAACTGTAAAATCCCTTAAAATTGGTTTATTTTTGATTGCCCAGGGTTTGATGACAATATTAATGAATTAATGAGAATATCTCATAGAATAAGCTTATCCAATTATATCAAAAAAACTAAAAATATCATTGTTTATTTTGTAATTGATTTTTCTCAATAATCATTGTAAAATATTAAGAATACTTTTGATCCAATAATTTAACTTTTAAAAGACAAAAATGACCTAGAAACTCATTTTGAAAAATGGACCAATATAGTTCTAACAAAAGCCGAAGAAGGATAAAGAGATTAATTTATAAAAAATTGGGAGGTTGCTTATGAGGGGCACTTAGATGATGATTATAGTTTTTATAAAAAATTATTTGAATATCGATCTATAGAATTCAAAAAGCAATTGCCAAATATAAGAGAATATATCTGCAATTTAGCTGATTAAATTATCAAGATGTCATAATAGTAACTTGCAAATCAATAACAATATCAACCAAAATTCCAAAATATCCTTGATGATAAAGTTTGGTCCCTCTTCGAACATTGTATCCCTAAATTTAATTCTAAGTTAGATTCTATTATAGATTTATTAATAATGGAAGTGAATTTTTTTGTTTTGGAAAGTAATGTTGGTGTTTCGAAAAAATAGTAGAAAATAGAAAAAATAAAGAGCATTTTAACATAGAAGGGCAAAGAAATGATTACGGTTATAACATCTAAAAACTGCAAAACAATTCTTGAAGAACTATCAGAATGGACCAAGGATATTCGGGATTTAAAATAGGGCAAAACTTTCCTTTAATAATTTATTGATGATTCGAAATGTATTTTAGAAATATCAAACTAATGCCAAAATACTAGTATAGCACCATTTGAAGTCAAAATTGATAAACTAGTTATCAGGATTAAAACAGCGATTACTAGTATTAAAAAAACTATTTTATATTATAACTGTTGGTCATATGGTGGCTATGCCGTAAGTTTAATAGCAGCACTAATGAGTGGTGGTTCATCCCTTGCGTTATGTGAAGTTAAAGTTTTTGTAACTTTGGCTCGGAAATTTTTATTAACAAGAGGTATATTGTGGGGTATATCGTTAACTTCTGGTTCTGTATCATCAATTAGTTTTATTTATGCTTTCATAGATAAATGGAAAAATGATCATTTGAGGAAGATATATAAAGAAGCATTAAATAAAGAGAATGATATAGGGAGGGCATGAAAAAATGGATAAAATGAGATTATATATTGTATTGCATTATTCTATTTCTAACTGATATTTTATTATTAATAAGATAAGTTATTGTATTAATTATGGAAATTACACATTTAATACAAATGTTAGTGTATTCGATTCTATTTAAAATGCTTAAGCTAATATTTTATCAATTTCAGTAAATCATACTATATTGTTTTTATAATTACAATTAATTTTAGGATAAACTATTTTAAAATAACTAATATTATGACATTTTAGTTGAAGCTCCCATTAATTAAGAAACGAACAGAATTAGAATAAACAATTACAGATATTAAATAAGCATCAAATACAAGTCAAGATGCTGTAAGCATTTAAGAAGCAATAAAAAGTTAAAATCATAGGAAAAGCATCAGCCTTTATGGTATATTAATAAATAAAAATAAGAAATTTAATATTAAGGATCAAGTCGCACAACCGATAGGACTAAGACAATTGAAAATTCATTAGTTGGGGAAGCTTCAATGAAACCGGAGAAACTAAATTACGTCATGAAGGAATAATAGAAATTTTAGCCTTAGATTGATATGAGAAAAGGTTTTGCAGGGAGATATGATAAAAAGGGTGAATGGGAGCATTATTTACCGCCATTACCAAGTGTTCAAGAGAGAGAGAATAAACAATTAAAACAACTAGTCAAATTCACTATAAAATTTGTTGATAAAGTACCTAAGCTTAAATTGAGGCAAAGATTAAAATCTTGTTTTATAGCAATCAAAGCTTTAGTTAGATGGGCAAAATTAGTGAAGTATTTCATCCTCATATTTTCAAGATCTCTAATTTAGAAAAAGAGATTGAATACTTTTTTTTACAGTAATTGCTTGAAGGAAGTAATTTATAACGATTAAATCAAAGCAATCAAATTTAAACAATGGACTTAAATGGCTTTTTCAAAAGTATTTAATTAGATTAAAAAGGAGAGATTAGAATAATATTACAATTTGAATATTATAGTAATAATATAATATATTAATTAGGATGGCCCTTGCAAATAGTTAAGCCCACAAGAGAATGATATTTGTGTACTTAAATTACGCTATTTAATTTAATTGATGTTAGAAGGCTTTTTGGTAATGACAAATAAGCCAAATTTATTAAAGGAATTGGTAGGCGAAATGTACATATCCTAATTTGAAGATTAAAGGAACTGTTTTTATTTATTTACTAGTTTAAGGACTATGTATTTATAAAATAAAAGAGATGAATTACCTTCAATGCAAAGAGCTATGATATTTGTTGAATTTTTAATAATGAGGATAATAGTTCAAAATATCTAAGTACTAATCAATCAGGATAAAGTATTAAATACTGAAAACAATACTATAAGCTTCTTATTAAAATTACTAATTTCATTTCTACACTATCTCTACTTGAATTTATTCTCAAAATTAGAAATCATTAAGATCAGAACAAAAAAACAGTTAATATAAAAACAATTAATCATCAATTAGAATGTCTAATTGATTGATGTTCCTTCAAATAAGGATAGTTAAGATTTGATAATCGGAATATACAATTATGAATCTTTAAAACCAATTTTGGAATCTTAAAGATGGAAGTTTTAAATGAAGTCAATCTTTATGAAAGTTATTTAAAATCTTGAATAGCATGAATTATGAATAGCTTAATATGATTCTAAATCAAATGTTTTTATAATGTACGTATCGGTTATATTTTATTATATAAATTTTAATAATAAATCAATTTCAAGTGAAGAAGCTATGTTTTTATATGACATCATAAGCTTCAATTAACATTTAAGTAGTTATTCTAAGAATTTATTTACAAAATTTTGGGTTCATTCTATTCATCACTCCCTATGAATAGCGATAATGAAATAATAACAAAGAATGATAGACTAATTTCTCATCTNAATTAAGGATCAAGTCGCACAACCGATAGGACTAAGACAATTGAAAATTCATTAGTTGGGGAAGCTTCAATGAAACCGGAGAAACTAAATTACGTCATGAAGGAATAATAGAAATTTTAGCCTTAGATTGATATGAGAAAAGGTTTTGCAGGGAGATATGATAAAAAGGGTGAATGGGAGCATTATTTACCGCCATTACCAAGTGTTCAAGAGAGAGAGAATAAACAATTAAAACAACTAGTCAAATTCACTAAAAAATTTGTTGATAAAGTACCTAAGCTTAAATTGAGGCAAAGATTAAAATCTTGTTTTATAGCAATCAAAGCTTTAGTTAGATGGGCAAAATTAGTGAAGTATTTCATCCTCATATTTTCAAGATCTCTAATTTAGAAAAAGAGATTGAATACTTTTTTTTACAGTAATTGCTTGAAGGAAGTAATTTATAACGATTAAATCAAAGCAATCAAATTTAAACAATGGACTTAAATGGCTTTTTCAAAAGTATTTAATTAGATTAAAAAGGAGAGATTAGAATAATATTACAATTTGAATATTATAGTAATAATATAATATATTAATTAGGATGGCCCTTGCAAATAGTTAAGCCCACAAGAGAATGATATTTGTGTACTTAAATTACGCTATTTAATTTAATTGATGTTAGAAGGCTTTTTGGTAATGACAAATAAGCCAAATTTATTAAAGGAATTGGTAGGCGAAATGTACATATCCTAATTTGAAGATTAAAGGAACTGTTTTTATTTATTTACTAGTTTAAGGACTATGTATTTATAAAATAAAAGAGATGAATTACCTTCAATGCAAAGAGCTATGATATTTGTTGAATTTTTAATAATGAGGATAATAGTTCAAAATATCTAAGTACTAATCAATCAGGATAAAGTATTAAATACTGAAAACAATACTATAAGCTTCTTATTAAAATTACTAATTTCATTTCTACACTATCTCTACTTGAATTTATTCTCAAAATTAGAAATCATTAAGATCAGAACAAAAAAACAGTTAATATAAAAACAATTAATCATCAATTAGAATGTCTAATTGATTGATGTTCCTTCAAATAAGGATAGTTAAGATTTGATAATCGGAATATACAATTATGAATCTTTAAAACCAATTTTGGAATCTTAAAGATGGAAGTTTTAAATGAAGTCAATCTTTATGAAAGTTATTTAAAATCTTGAATAGCATGAATTATGAATAGCTTAATATGATTCTAAATCAAATGTTTTTATAATGTACGTATCGGTTATATTTTATTATATAAATTTTAATAATAAATCAATTTCAAGTGAAGAAGCTATGTTTTTATATGACATCATAAGCTTCAATTAACATTTAAGTAGTTATTCTAAGAATTTATTTACAAAATTTTGGGTTCATTCTATTCATCACTCCCTATGAATAGCGATAATGAAATAATAACAAAGAATGATAGACTAATTTCTCATCTTGATTAAGACTAAGCCAAGTTTAAAATTGCTGGAAAGGCTAGTATCAAATTAGATTCTTAATTTCCAACAAATTCAAACTTCTATGGGAGTATTCTTTAAATTAAATTCTTAAGATGTGAGAAAAGATCATTAGACCATATTTCAAAAAGTTGGCTACTCTGTTTCTTAAGATCTGAATTAATAAATTGCGAAAGCGAGCCTTGTTTCCACTGAAATTTAATCTGTTCGTAAAGTTACTAATCACTAAATTCAGTAATTCTTCATTCCAAGTGGGTAGAGTATTGAAATTCTCAATAATAATGATTAATTTGGAAACAATTCTGAAAGTCCGTATAATCTCCAAAGGAATACAAAAAGATTTCAACATCATTAAGATTCCTAAGAAAATTTATATGATAATTTTAAAAGCAGTAGTAATGACAATACACCTAGATCATTAAATAGTATAAGTATTTTAAATAAACCAATTTCAAAAAATGACAATCAAATAAATCAAATAATTGAGATAGGAAAATTCAAACGAATAAGAAGGTGCTTTCAGGTTATTAGAGCTGTTTTTAGATTGAAGACGTTATATAAGTAAAAATTTATTATTGATGAATTAGTTAGAAGAAATCAACTTGGGATTTGAAGATGGCTGCATTCAAAAAGAATTAGATGATTTTACATTACAATGAAAGTATTACAAAAATAAAAATAAAATAATGGACCTAAATGGTATTTACAAAAATGATATCAGTTATTCAGTAAATAAATTTAGAAAAATAATAATTGAATTTTATTGTAAATATTTAATTATTCAAATTAAGGACCAACGACACCTATTAAAGACTAGGAATAGAGGAATTACCCAAACATTTAATAATGCATTAAATAAGTTAAACATTTTGCTACTATTTCCAATCAAATTGATTGCATCTAAAGATCTATTATATTTTTATTAAAATAATGCAGAATTCATTTTAATTATTTTTTTGTGATTTTCAGTAGCACTTATAAAATTCCCCTAAAGTTATGGTTAAGATTATTGCTATTATTAAAATTGCGATTTTGATTATCTGATTAATCGCTATTTTTAATTTATTTTTGTTCTCCTTCAACCTTCTAAATTTCGCTTTAGGGAAAGACTTCTATTCAGTAAACTATAGCTTAATTTTAATTCCTTAAACTCTCAAAACCAAGGTTCAAAGGTTTCTAAAAGATTTTGGCAACATTTTTGTAGAGTTAAATTAGTGATTAAACTTATTAGGGCTGATATTTATTTAGATTGTCTATCTATTTGTTTATGATGTGGATGTATGTCTATTTAATACAGATGAATACAAATTGCCCAAAGCATTACGCTCTTTATCTTGATGTGATTTTTATAAATTGCAAACCTTTGTGATAATTGATTGATTATATATATTTTACTCGCTAAATTTTGGATTCTATAATCCATAAGG